TGATTTTTTTAAAAAGAAAATATTGATAAGCAATCAAGTTATATGTAAATGTCAAATATTGTCATGTAGAGTAACAAGAAGCTTGATAGAAAACAAGGTCTCAATATAAATTTCTAATTTAAAATCAATTAGTTATAGATAAAATGCGCATGTTATATTTAAATCCGTTGATTTCCCTTAACAACAATCAGGTAGCCCCTAGGGCAATAATGCAAAAACAATTTCTCATGAAATCTCTAGTGTAGGTTTTTAGAGCTAAAATTTTCCCTTCCCTCTAAGAACTGAAATATTTTTCTAGGCATTGATGTACAATTTGAATGTCTGCCTAGGAAAAAAAAAAAAGAAATATTTGAATATCGATTTTAATCAATTTCAATCTATTTTTCTTTCATTTTTTTTACCAGTTAATACAATTTTCGTACCTGAATTCAATATCAAATCTCAAGCTTCGAACATTCTTTAGGAGATTTTTTTATTTTTATTTTTATTTTTATTTTCTTTTGAAATAAATCCAGTTGAAGGTAAGCCCTAAGTGTGGGCTTTGTAGTTTGTAACCAAACCAAGTTAAGCCCAAATACAAGTGTTGGCCAATCTGTTGAGGTTATGAAATCTGAGCCGACCCAAATATAAGCCCACTATATATCAAGAGTTTCAGAAACCCTAATGCGCTACCTCCCTCCGCAAGCTGAGATCAACCAGGTGAGTCAGCTTATCTCTTTCGGTCTCCCCAGCTCAACTTCTCTCGATTTATGGTATCTCTTTTAGTTCTGATTCTTGTTCTTTGATGATTTTGATATTAATGGGTGTCATTCCGCATTTCTCATGTACATGAATATTTATTTTTTATGTAAATGGAAATAAGACTCTGTAAAATCTTTGCTTTTTAGTTTGAGCTCTGAAATTTCATGGGGTTTTGTTTTTGACTGTTGATCATAGAAGGTAGGAGTGAAATGGGTTTTTCCAAATATTGGTGCTGGACGCTGGTTATACTGTCCAGTCTTTTTCTTTCTTGTTCATATGTAAAGGGTCATTTTTTCTGGTTATTTGGTTAAGATTTGAGTGTCTTTTTGTTTAAAAATTTTTGAACCCTTTAGTGCTGGCATGAATAGGACCTGTTTTCTTATTGCTTCTGATTTTTTAAACTTGCTTAGAGATGGGTGAGGAAGTTAAGGCCCTAGTTCCTGAGTCAGTGTTGAAGAAGAGGAAGAGGAATGAAGAATGGGAACTGGCAAAAAAACAGAAGCTTGAAGCTGTGAAGAAGAGTAATGCTGAGAAGCGGAAGCTGATTTTCAAGAGGGCTGAGCAGTACGCAAAGGAGTACAAGGAGAAGGTAAATACTGCATCACCTTTTCTCTACATCTTGTCAGATCTCTCAACATGCTGAATTCTGAATATTTGTGTGTTCTCTTTCTTTTAGGAGAAGGAACTCATTCAATTGAAGCGTGAGGCAAAGTTGAAAGGAGGTTTCTATGTTGACCCTGAAGCCAAACTTTTATTTATTATTCGGATTCGTGGGTGTGTATAATTTGCAACTTTGTATTAGATGAGTCCAAACAAGAATGTGCAAATCCTTATATTGTAACCATTTTGTGGTTTCAGAATTAATGCCATGCACCCGAAGACAAGAAAGATTCTGCAGCTCTTACGTCTGAGACAGGTATTTAATCTAGCCTTTCCTGAAATAATAGATAAATATTGGTTCTTATCCCTCTTTCCCATCTTTTTATTCTGTTTTATGTTGAAACATTTCCCTTTGAGAGAAAAGCTAGCTTGAGATATTTTGTTCGAAAGAAAGCTTGCTATTTGGATTATTTAGTTTTGGGTACATGGTTTATGAAAAGCAACATTACCTTAGTTTACAAAAACCAATATCACCTGTCATATGTCTTTTAAGCTTGGAGCATTGGTATTGCATTGCTTGATGCTTAAATTTGTGTTTGTTTGATCATGATTTCTATTTATTTAACGCAACTTATATGGTCCTTATGTACACAAGATTTTGGTAATACAAAAGAAATAATGCCCATCATTGTGCTTGAAATATTTTAGTTGTTACTGAATTCCTCCAATCTGCAGATCTTCAATGGTGTTTTTCTTAAAGTTAACAAGGCAACAATGAACATGCTGCACAGGGTTGAACCTTATGTGACATATGGGTATTTTTCGTTCTTTCTAACTTCACCACCCTGAGTCCCTGCCTGAATGCCCCCACTGTCTTAAAGAAAAAAGTACTAAAATCCCACTTTGAGATCTTAGATATCTTACAGCCTAATGTGTTTGTGGTGCATGATTTCAGGTATCCCAATCTGAAGAGTGTGAGGGAACTGATTTACAAGAGGGGTTATGGGAAGCTGAACAAGCAGAGAGTTGCTTTGACTGACAACTCAATCATTGAACAGGTTTGTCATTTCACATTATTGTCCTCCATCTTGGTCATGAGCAAATGCTATGGACCATTGCTCATATTTATTTCATTGCAGGCTCTGGGCAAGTATGGTATCATCTGCATAGAAGATCTCATCCATGAGATTATGACCGTGGGGCCTCATTTCAAGGAGGCAAATAACTTCCTATGGCCATTTAAGCTGAAGGCACCTCTCGGTGGTCTAAAGAAGAAGAGGAACCATTATGTTGAGGGTGGGGATGCTGGTAATCGTGAGAATTATATCAATGAGCTCATCAGGAGAATGAACTAGAATTCTATAGTTGTCAATCTAGTCCCTGAGAATATCTTGTTAACAGGATTTTGTTCATTTATTTTGTAAGCTGGGTACAACTTTTCTAAGAGCATGGGTAAGTGACATGTTTCTTCATATTCTCTTTTATTTACATGTTATGCTACCTCCGTAGCGGAGCTTAAGTTGCCACAATATTCTAACATTCAAGATGATTTCATTTTAGTTTCTTCTGGTCTGTGGCCATTCGGTAGAACTAATTTTTTGGGCTCCACCCCCTCCCCCCAACCCCTTCTTTCTTTTTCTTTCTTTTTTTCAAGTAAATAAATTTTAGAGGGAAGAAGTTTTAACATGCCCTAAATTTTGTAGCTTGTCTTCCCTGAAAATTAGAATTTATGGTTAATCGATATTCCTTGCATTGAAGGGAATTTGATGTTTTTAAGTTGCATTGGCCGGTGGGTAAGAGCATTCAATGACAAGAATTGGAGATTCAAAATTATCTCCTATTTGTGTTGCCTATTGGTGAGATAGGAAGGGTATAATATTCAATGGATTGTATATAATTTTTATTATACCTGTTTAAAAAAAAAAAAAGGGACCTTGAATGCATTAATAATAGAAGTTTTGGGATTTCAGTGAAAATCTTTAAAAGTTAGGGGCATATTGCAAGAAGAAAAGTTGCAATCGGGGATCTAAATGAATGAATTAGAATTTATGAGATGAAAACTGATCACAAAGTAGAAGATGTAGGACTAAACGTGTCATTTTACCATTGAAGAAATTGTAAAAGATAAAAAGGGTGTGGGCCGGGTTGACTGTGGACATCATCTTGATAGGTGTCGACACCATACGTTAAGACATGGGAAAGGTCTGCAAAATTCCCCGCAGAAGGATTGATTAGTTACGTTATGGTGTCGACACTCTAAGTAATTTTCAGCAATTTTTTTCAAAGAGTTAATGTGTCTATGAAAGATGACAATTGATTCTTATCATTGTATTACTCTTTTAGCTATCACCTATTAACAGATATACTAAAAAAAAAAACGATTACTAAAAGATTACAACAAATTATGGGAATTCGATTGTGTAAACAATTGTATAAAAGAAAGCCTTCATTTGTTTGTATGCAAGCAAGTGCTGCTAATCAGTTTCTAAGGCATCTTCTAATTCAACGTAAAAAAATAATAATAATAAATTACAAAATGTTACAGAATGGGTTTCTCTAACAGAACCTTGCTAGCCTTTTTCTCTTCATCTCCCAGCTTCTAGTGTAGTTCCAATAAAAACAAAGAGAAAAAAAAAAAAAATTCTAAAGCAAGGGCTCAAAACCTGCTCCTTGCATGTCTTCAGCTCTCATCACTTCCACTAGAATTTGGCCTCCTCACAAATCGCCCCTGCAACATTACCTACCAAAACCATCAGTTGTGTTCATTTTTGTCACACAAACTTGAGTATTTTCTTCATTAATATGCTGTCATTTTTGCTATTAATAAAACTATACAACAGAAATAACCCTCGTGTGCATGATAGCATATCCACAGGCTACTACCCAAACCCGATTAAGTATCTAATTATGTTATTTGTACCCATCCCACTATCATATCTAAACATAACTAAAGGGTAGGGCACCCACGGGGACCTGATCACAGAGTATACAATCCCCTTGCCATCTGTATTACCTACCATATAAAAAAGGTATTTTTATTTTTTTTTATTTTTTATTTTTTGAACAAAGTTTCATAGGTGGGATTCAAAATTTTGAACCCACCAGAAAGAAGGGGGATTGTACCTTCAAAGTAGTCGAAAGCCACTTAACCCGAAAGATCAGGTAAAAAAGTATTTTTATTAATAATAAATATGGTCAAAATATTAATAATAGTTCGAGAAAAATGTGACCAACTAACTACTTTATGGTGTTACTTTCCATCATACATTCATCGCTCACAAAGGGAAAACTGAAAAAATTCCAAGGACAAAATCGAAAGATTGAATTATTTTAAAGGACTTAGTTGAACGAATCATGAAACAATGAGACGAAAGTAAAAACAAGTTGATGGTGGGGTTACCTTCATTCTGGGCCGTCGATCAGCGTTGACTTTTCTGACTTGATACCTGATCTTCTTAGAGAAAAGGCGGGTACGCCGTTTTTCCTTGTAGCGCAACACGCTAGCCTCTCTCACCCCTCCTCCTCCTCCTCCACCGTCACTAAACAAATCGATCTGGGCTAACCTGGCCTGCCCCCCAAAATTAAATCATTAAATTAAATTAAAAAGAAACAAATTCAGTACTTCTCACCACAGAACTCTTATCATACTTCATACATTTTCCTCTTCTTTTTCTTTTTTTTTTTCTAAAAAAAAGAAAATTAAGACAATGACAAACCCTGTCATTTTCATTTACATTCTGAATTTCTTATCAATCCCTATAAACATTACCTGAAAATATATAAATATATCATTAAAAAAATTAATATTTAAATTATTTAAATTATATTAAAATTTAAAATTATAAATATTAAATAATTTTTTTATAATTTAATCATTAATATTTTTGTCATACGATATAATTAATCTGAATTTTAAAATACTTTTTTATTCAAAAAATTACTTAAAAAATATCTGCAGAGGGTCCCACTAAAAACACAAACCAAAAAAATCGGCCCAAAACAGATATTTGATGACATGGTTAAGAAATGTCAAAAAACAAGTAAAGCGGGGAACACAAATGGGTTTAACCTTAACTTGTTTAAGAATACCACAGTTATTGCTGAAGAAAAATTATTAATAGAGTTGAGTTTGGGATCAATAAACCTATTTTAAATAAAAGCCAAAACTTGTAAACTTTATATGTATAAAAATTCGAGTCCAACTCATTTACTCAATGAATGAAGTAAACCCTAAACTTGAATTATTGGTGAGCTACTTGAGTATAGAGTTAGTGAAATCTATAGAATCAAAATTCACAAAATGAGAAAAAAAAAAAAAAAAGAGTTTGCAAGATATGTTAAAAAGGAATAATATAACATAATGCGAAACTTAGAAAATTAAAAAGTGCATCATTTCTTGGTCCCTATGTGACAAAGCAATGGAATTTCAATTTCCGGCGGGAGATAAGAAACATACAGAGACATCGCTCCCCGGTGCGTCGGCGTCATCGGTGAAGGGGCAGCCGCGGTCCGACCAAGCATTCAACACCTCATTGTAATTCAATTTCAAATTCAACCCGGCGTTTGGCTTCGGATTCTGAATCGGGTTTTCTTTGGGCAATTCCGGATCTTTTATGTCAACTACCCTTTTCTTCTTCTTCTTCTCAACCTTGCCGTTGTTGGTAATTTTGGGGGAGATTTGACGCACGTCGACGGTGGGGAAGTTCCACCAGTTAACCTCATCGGAATGTCTCCAAGCTCTAACTCCCCTCAACGGAAATTCGAATTTCCCGCCAAATCCCAATCCGATCGGATTTCCATGCCAGGCGGCACCGCTGGATGCATCCACTTTTTCGTTGTCAACGCTGAGATTCCCCATGATGCTATCGATTCCCTCCTCAATTTCTTCATCCAGAATTGATTCTGCATCGAAATCTTCGTTGAATTCAGAGCAGAAATTGGCCGAGCTTACACATGAATCGACTTCTCCACTGCAGGAATTCACAACCTTACTGGGTTCGATCAGGAAATTGGGTTTCTCTTGGGTTGGCTGATGATTGGGGAGCAAGAAACCGGAGCCGTCATCGCTAATTACGCGGAAAGGCAGTAACAATTCGGACGATTCATCGAAGAAATTGTCGTGAGGGCTGGTGAATTTATGTGGTTTAGTGAGGATTTTAGTGGGAAATACATTGGGGTAGGCAGTGGAGAGGAGAGCGGCAGCTTCGTTGTAGGTCTGATTAGGACGTTTTCGAGGGGTTCGCGGTTTTCGGGTGGAGATTGCGAGGGGAGAATTGCTGGATTCTGAGAGGGTTGAAGAAGGCGAAGATGTTTGCGAGGTTCTGCTTGAAGTGGACGGCGATTTTACAATATCCAGGTCCAGAGAATAGGTCCGGCCTCCGCCGATTATGAACGAAGACATTTCCGATAACAGAACTCAAAATTGGATTGGCAATTTTCAATTTTGAAGACAAACCATTTCAAAAACAGATCTAAAATTACAAACCCAAGAAAAAAAAACTGGAATTTGGAAGATGACTCTGTTTTGCAGAATTGGAAGAGTTTAGTATCAAACCGAAGAGAAAGCTTAAAGGTTGAGGCTTTATGTGGGTATTAGCAGATACACGCAACAGAGAGCACAAAACCCTAAACCCTGAAAGTACAGGAATAAAAAGTTCTTGGACTTAAAAATAGGAAGAAAAGGCCAAAAACTTTGAGAATGAAGTAGAAAGGAACTCCCTAGAAGCTTTGAACCGTAGCAAAGCAAAGAAAATATCTATATTATAAAAAAAGAACAATAATTATATTCAAAAGACTATCTCACACAACAATAATCAAATTTGCAACTAAAATTCTAACACCCACCAAACCCCACAACTAAAAGTAAACCAAACAGCATATCTACAGTGAATAAGCTCTTTTTCAGGTGCAAACAGGGTGAGTTGCAAAACCCTAGAAAAACCTAGAAATGATTATGAAATAATTTTAGATTTGGAGCAGAGGGAATGAGAAATATCTAGTAAAGGAAGTTACCCAATTAAGGAAGCTCTGTTGGGAGCAAAATTGGAAGGAAACAGAGAGGGTTACCAAAGAGAGAGAGGCGAAGAGCAGGTCACAGGATGGAGTAGATAAAAGGGGAAAGTTCCGTTGGTAAATCTGGAGATAATAGGCATATATGGCAGGGCGGGGCAGGGCAGAGGAGATAGGGGGGTGTGAAGGAATTGAAGTTGAAGGGAAGAGAGAGTGATAGAGAACAGAGGAGCGGACAATCTAGTAGTTTTCTTGTGGGGGGGACCCATTTGATTATGCCTCTTACCCCTTCAATTATTTTATTTTGCTCATTTACTTAATTGTCCTTCTCCAATACATTGTAGTAATTTTCTTATCTTTTTCTATCCTCCATTGCATAGAAAAATAAATCATATTTTTATTAAAAGTTAGTGTATTTTAGTTTTTTTTTTTTTTTGAACAGATTGTCAATGGATAGGCTCGAAACCCGTCTATGGGGGAGGGGAAATGCACTTCAAACTAGCAGACTGCCAGTTGGTCCAAAGGGATAGGTGCTAGTGTATTTTAGTTTTAATTTATTAAAAAATTAAAATTTTAATTCAAAATTTAAAAATTTAATTGGTTTTTAAATTTAAATACCAATATTTATAAAATAAATTTTTAAATTTTAAATTAAATTTTAATTAAATAAAATAATGTAATTTAAAATTAAAACTTTAATTTTTTTTAAAAAGTTGAAACTAATATATATCTTTTTATTTTTATTATTAGGTTATGAAAATGAAAAGATACCACACATGAAATTCTAAAATAATACTAGATAACACAATTTCATTCCATAAATGAACTTCATTCGTTAGTAGATATATTGCCATATTATTTTAAAGTTTGATATTATTATAAATTTATAATACGAAAAGGAAACAAAGAAATTTTGCATCTTAAGACAATAGTTTGGCATTTTTCCTTCTTTCATAAGAGTATATACTTTCTTCATTAAAAAAGAAAAAGAGAGAGTATATTGCACATTCATTTTAATTTTTTTTTTTAAGAAGGCCCCTTGAATATAAGCTGATAAGAGTGAAAACAGGGGGTGGAGGCTTTTTTTCTTTTTTTTTTTTTAACTGAAGTTAAATGGGGATGGGGGCATTTGAGTCAAGCCTGAGTTGGTAATCTTAATCATGGACAAGCATGGGACACATCTGGCCATGCCACCTGCAAATTTCTAACTAGATTTTATGGGGGAAAAGGGTCTCTTATCTGCTGAGGCGGCAACAACTCATTGGTCACTTAAGATTTTCTAAGGCTGAGTTGGCTTGTCGTTTCATAGGCCGGATGATTATCACATGTAGTATCTAGAAAAAGAGGCAGAGTTTTGGTTGGTTTTGGACATGAGCAATGATTTGGCTGTCTTTTGCCATTTGTTTGTGTGGCATTTGGCAACCAAACGTTGCCTCCATTTCCTTCGTTGGCTCTTGATTACCATATCAGACAACCTTTTCATTTTTTGCAAAATCATCTCAATTTTCTTCCACATATTCTTTTCTTGCCCAAAAATGTTTATCATCAGCATAGTTGTATATTAATTCGTAATAGGAGTATTTAAAAAAACGATATTGAAACTAAAAAGGAGTCAAAATTGAAAAGTATTTTTAGTACAATTTTATATGAGAGATTAAAAATTTTATATTTTAAGTCATAAATATATAAGTAAAAAGGGTAAAATAAAAAAAAAAATTATCTCTTATTATTATGTAATAAGCAAATTACAAAAGATAGATTTTGTACTGTTGTACCAAAATAAGATTGGTTTATGTCTTCCCTTGACAAATGCTTCCAATTAAGATTTTTCAACATAACAATGAAAGATATGAATTTTATTGGGGCCGAAGGGAAATGAATTAAAGAAGTTGGGGCCCCTGAAATATAATAATGGATAACTTCGTAAAAGAGAAAATTTTGAAAATGAAAGGGAGCATGCTAGTGGATCTAAGATCTTGTTGCCCTTTTTCGCGTCACAAAAAAAAAAGAAAAAAAAAAAGGAAAGAAAAAGAAAAAAAAGGGGTTGGTCTGTGCACTTTTAGGTTATCAGGGGGGAAATGGTTTTCTTTTGTTGTTAAAGGCATTTTGCTAAATTTGCAACTGTATCCTCGGACACGTGTACCATACCTAGATATTTACATATATATTACTAATTCATAATATTTCTTAAAAGTAAAAAAATACCTAAGTTGATTTTCAAATACCATTATAAAACCAGGTAAACTCTTCAAATAAAAAATTATATTGTATAATAAAAGGTAATATTTTTTATTCTTTAATTCACCTTATATGCATGTTATATTATTTAAATTTAGAATATCTTATTTTCAATAAAAGAAAAATATCCTTAAACTATTTATTAAATTGTTGATTTAATTTGTCTTTTTTTTTTGTAATACTTATTCTTAAAGGTTGTAACAGTATATTTAACTTAAGAGAAATAAAAAAAAATTCTTTTATTTAGTTATAAACAATTAAAGTGAATGAAAAGTGAAAAAAAAGTCCTTTATTTTATTTTTTTAGTTTATTTATTTTTTAAATAAAGGGAGGAAAAGGAAATTAAAAAAAAATACAATTCTTCTACCCTTTAACCTCCCAACTTAAATATACAGCAATAGTAGTATTTAAGGACCTCATTTCCACTCTCAGTCCGAACTGAAACATATTCTTTTAAAATTTTAAATAAGATGGGTTTGGTAAGAGTGACAAATGGTGAGGGTTATATGGTCATTTCACAAATTGAAGAAGGAAAAGTATACCTCATCTGATTTTGATCCTTTGATTGACATTTGACAATACCTTATCTTTTACAAGGATGAGTTGGAATTTGCATGGCCCTTAGAATTGGATAACCTCTCAAGTTTTTAGACCTTTTTTCTCCACCAATAAACCTCTTTCTCTTCTCTTATCACATTTTATCCCTTCGCCATCTTACATTAACATGAATGTGCATAATCTGTAATCTTTGAACTCCAATTAAGTTATGACATCTGGCTCCATTCTTATGTGTTTTAAGTCCAAACTCTAAAACAAATTATCTAAAAAAAATTAGAAATCACATTCTTTGTTAAGAGGTCAATTGGGTTTTAATTATCTAATTTTTTTAAAGAAAAAATTAATAAACCTCTTGCAAATGTTTATACATAGTCCAAATTTTGTGAATATAGATTGAAAGGCCAATCTGGTCTGGCATTTGGACCATCTCTTGGGGGAAGAAAACTGTTGCAGAGCAAAATTATGGGCATATGCTTACAAGTAAATTTCTAGGGACCATTTTTTTTAAAAATTTTTTGGTCTTTCCTTTCGTGAGCATGGAGAGTGCTGAATTAACATACTGCTTCAGTTTCTTCACCTCCATGCTAGGGCTTGTCTTTTTTCATTCTTCCTGGCCAATTAATTTAATCAATTTAGTGTATTTGTTCTCCTCTTTGCCCATAAACTTAGGTCAAAAAACTGAATCACATGATAGCATATATCTTTCTCTCTTAAATTCTTAATTATTTAATTCTAATTATTGAATCATATGCATAGATGTTGCTGAAGTAAATGGAGTGGCAGGAATGAATTAGTACTTTTGGTAGTGGAACCCACAAATCTATTTTCATTTTATTGAAAGGAGGCTTGTTGGGCCACTTAATTTCATGGGCTTGGTTTCAACTTCTTCATTTTTTTTCTTTGTTTATATGGGCCCAAAAGGATTTTTTTGGTCCAGTCCATTTATGGTAGTGTACTACTAGTGCAGGCTTCAATGGGCTGCACCATCTTCATTGTGGGCCAACGATGTGCTAGACCAAGCAAAAACCCTACATAAAATGCTTTGTCTTCGGCAGTGAGGACTGAAGGCTGAACTCTGAACTCTAAATATTTTAGGTTAAATGCCCCTTTTGTTCCTTTAACTATTGAAAAAAATCCCCTTTTATCCCTATATAAAAAAAAATCCATCCTTACCACTTAAAATCCAACCCCTTCTCTATACCTCCATTAAATTTTTACTTACTTGCCACGTTAATTAACAGAATCAATTCACTCTTTGCTAGTACTGCCTCAATTTACCTGCTACCGCCAGATTCAGCCGTAAAATTGATTCCTTTTTGTTTCCGCCTTGATTCGCAGGGGTACCTCTAACCCTAACCTAATCAAACCTCCAATCTTCGTCTCCCATGGATTCTTTGCTAGCAAACTACGCTTCCTCAGACGAAGAAGAGGATCAGAAACCACCATCCACAGAACCCCTTTCTTCTACTCCTTCCAGAGCATCTTCCCTTTTCTCTTCGCTCCCTCAGCCCAAATCTTCTGCTCTTTTCTCTTCTCTTCCCCAACCGAAACAACCCCAGAAAATTCCCACCACCACCGTCCCTATTGGTGATGCTGACGACGTGGAAGAAGGATTATCGGAGAAAGGTGCGAAATTTTCCCGGGTTGTTGACAACAGAGAGGAGGAAGAAGAAAAGGGTTCAAACCCCACTTCTCTTTTCTCTTCACTCCCTCAACCCAAATCTCAAAATCCTCAACAGCCTGATTCCAGTCTCGGGTCTTCTCAATCCAATCCCAAAAGGGTGGTTCAATTCAAGCCTCCGATCATTCCCACTCCTAACAAGTTTGAGGATGATGAGGACGATGAAGATGATGAGGAGGAGGAGAGAAGAAGGCGCAGAGAATCTGAATCCTCAAGGCAGGGTCCTTCTGTCACGTCCTTTTTATCGAGTATTCCTGCGCCCAAGAATTCGGTGACGTTGGGTGTTCTTCCCTCTTCAGGTTCAGGTCGAAGATCCATTATTGAAACAGAAGTGCCTGCATCGAGTTCAAGCTCCTTTAAAGCTGAGAATGAATCGGGTACCGATCATAAGGTAGTCAATTATGCCAGTACCAACCTAAATTCAGAGAACAATGTGAACTATAGCAATTATGAGTCTAGCATTGATCAAAACACAGGTAGCAGTGTGGATAATGCTGGTTATGGAAATTATGAATCTGGTTTTTCTCAAAATGTGGATTATAGTGGCTATGGAAGCTATCAGCCAAGTGCTGACCAAAATGTTGGAAGCTATGACGCTGCTAGCTATGGAAGCTATGAGGGTTATGTGAGTAACTATGGGCAATCTGAGAATAATTGGGTTGATGGATCAGCAGCCATGGTACCAGAGACCATAGGGGTTTCTGACATTGGGATGCAATTACCGAGGAAGAGGGGGAGGAATGAGTTGCCTACAGAAATTGTTGAGGTGAAGCAGGATGAGTTGATGAAGAATAGACCAAGAGAGGACCAGGTCAAGTTGACTGGAATTGCTTTTGGGCCTTCTTACCAGGTATTAACTCTAACCTTTTCAACTCTTCTGTTTGCTCCTTTACTCTTATCTATTGAATTTGAATTTGAAGGTGACATTGATTTGATTTTTCCTGCATGCCTTGCAACATATTCCTGGCGCAATATGTTCTATTTTCCTTTTAATGTTGTTTAGTTGAATTTGTAAGGATTTGATTTAACCATATTACTAGCAGTTAGCTATATGAGTTATTTCAATTCTAATTCTTTCTGGATTAAGTAGTTTTAACTATTCGGCTTTAGCTTAAATGGTAAAAGAAATAATAGATTTTTACCTGTTTATATTTTGATATTTTGATAAGTTGAGTTCCCCTAAATTAAGTTTGCAAAACGTGAAGTTGTCTCAATGTCAGCAATTTGGATCAGAGAGATGTTGTTGCCTTAGTGAAAATAAAGGCATTAATTCTCCAGTGCATTGCTTATGCTACAGTTGGACAGTTTCCAATGGTCTCAATAGGTTCAAGAATTTGGCTTCAAATTTTAGAACTAATGACTTCTGGGGATTATTCCTAATCATGCTTTCCATTTATCTTTGTCTTTTTGGGGTTTGAGCAGATGAGTTCGTGACTTGTTTATTATCTCTATGAAAAGCATGTTGAGTTATTATCAGAGATATAAGTAACTTGGTGGCAATTTTATGCTCTGTTAAATTATGTCCTCATTCCTCCTCATTTCCTTTGCTGTTCCTAACATGTGATTCTTCCGCAGCCTGCTTCAACAAAGGGGAAGCCTTCAAAGCTTCACAAAAGGAAGCATCAGATTGGTTCTCTATACTTTGATATGAGGCAGAAAGAGACGGAATTAGCAGAGAGGCGTGCAAAAGGTTTCCTCACCAAAGCTGAAACTCAAGCCAAATATGGATGGTGATCTTTCATGTTTTTAGAAAAGGACATCACAAAATGTTCTGTATCAAGTTGAAAATTGTAACCATGTTTAGCATTTGACAAATTTGTTGTATGGTTCTCTGTTTTGTGCGGGGAACTTGGGACATGAAACTAGTTATCTCATAACATTCTTTGCCCTTAATTTTTGAAAACTTCAAACTTTTTATCAACATCAGTCAGAGTTCAAACAAAATTGTTACATGATAAGTTCTTTTGTAACTTTTGCTGATGTTCGATTTTGAATAATGTTTTGAAAAGTTCCGTTCTTATGCAAATTTCAGTGATGTAAAAGGCACACTTAGGTGGGTTGTGGCTCAAGGGTTTAGTGGTCATCAAGTCTTCAGCTCGGACACCCACAAGACCCTTATTGGAAATTGAGTGTTGTTTGCACTTTGTAGTATATTCTCCCTTCCCCAAAATTTTCTCTTGTTCAGAAGAAAACACGCGCGCTTAGGTTGTGCCTGAGCACTAGGTAGTAGGTAGTGACCCATTGTCTCACCAGGCATCTAGTTGGTGACTTGGTGGGGTTAGCCCTTCGAGTTGCACCTAGAGTGATTGATTGCGCCCCAGGGGATTAGATGTAATTAAGCTGCAATTACGCTGGAACAAAACTAGGACGACAGGTAAAAATTACTAGAAGCCGTACTATAAACTTAGGACGTTACCTACAGAACAAAAGTAGTAAACAACAAAAATACAAGTCAGGAAATTCGAGCCCTTTTTACCAATCCTTGAGCAGGTCTTCAGCAACATCCTTGTAGCTGACTTTCTTCTTCTTCTTCACAGGTGCAATAAGCTCTTCAGGTGGTTTCTCGTCCTCAGCGACTTGAAGGTCAGCACTGGTATCTTCAGGTTTCTCATCCTCAATGACTCGAAGGTCATCACTGGTATCTGCAGGTTGCTTCTTATCGTCAACTACATTGGTGGTTTCATGCTTTGTTCCGAGGCTTGGAATCAGGCTTAGTAGCATTGCTTGAACTGGATCAACCATGACTTCCAGTTTGTCAGGCTTCTTATCTACTTGGCCATAATTCCTCCAATCCATTTCAATAATTTCAGGGTTCTCAGCTTTCTCAGAGTCTTGGTCATTATCCATCTCATCCATTTCAATGCCAGGACTTTTGTTGTCTTGAGCAGTCTTCCCCCAATGTGATAGTTTCGAATCTTCTACTATGATATTATGGATGTTAGAATCTTCCTTGATATCCATTCCAAAGGTTTCAGGATTTCCAACATCCTTGTCAATCTCCTCATGTGATTTTCCATCAGATCCATTTTCATCCGATTCATCATCATAAATCTTTGCTGGCATCTTTCCACGATGTGTCTGTACTCTTCGAGCTTGGTTTAGACCCGTTTTTCTTTTATTAGTGCTCTTGCCAGCTGGTCTTCCTCTTTTCCTGTTTCCATTCTTGGGTAAGACCAAAGATTTAGAACTTTCCAGCTGAACTTTGCTGTCTATCTCTTTGCCTCGACTTTCATTAAAAGCCAACATATTCTGGCCTCGACAACTGGCTAAATCATAACTGATATTTTCCAGGTCTAGGTCCTGTTCACTGGAAAGAAAGAAGAAACAAAGTGACTATGTTAACTGGATGCATGTGCTGCAATAAGGTTAGAAAATCTAAACTACCAACTTCTTAATGCAATAAGTACTACAATGTCCCTGCCATAAACAATTTGCCTTTTTTCTTTCATGACCAACTGTCATCATCGAAGTACAGAAGGCTAACTAAATCCCCATGGCACAAATTTCATTCACCAGAGAAGGAAAGCAAGAACCTAACATCCAAAGATAATGGTTTTGTTCCACTAAGATGTGAATCCTATAGGTCATGAAGTAAAAGAAAAAGCAAAATAAAGCATCTTATGCCAAGAAAAAAAAAACAAAAAAACAAAGAGTGTGTGTGTGTGTGTGTGTGTTTTTTTTTTTTTTTTTTTTTTTTTTTTTTTTTTTTTTTTTTTTTAAAAGGAAGCCTAAAAGCAGAGCTGAAAATTTTAAAGCATGTTTGCACTAACCATTCTAGAAAGTCAGATCCTTCAACTCCAGCAGGCTTCAGA